TATAGTTACAACTTAGTTACCTTTTAACCAGCCATGTAAAGTTGAGGTTACTTTTGAAAGCTAAGGTCGTCCCATATAGTATTGGTCAAAAGTCTGATTTTTTACCATGTTTGTTTTGCATTGGAATTATAAAGTTATCCAAAATAATGTTCCGACAAACAATCTTGGTCATTATAGAGCCTAATGTCAGTGTCAGATAAAGTAAACACCACTGATCATCAGACTGACACTGTCGCCGGAACCGAGGATAAACAGCGGTGTCAGACACTGCCGATACTGTACAACGCCACAGAAGAACAAGGTTAATATTGTACCCTACTAAGTCCAAAAGTCACAGCAGAGAGCTAAGTCAATACTGTATACTAAACATGACCAACCTACGTCATCCAAATTAAATATAGCCATGTTTATACTTATGCTTTATATATTACGCAGTTTACATTTGTTATGTTTACATTTAGATGAAATGTCAACATATATATATGTGTCTTTGACAATGCCTGTTATGACAAATGTAACAATTGTAATTGATCAAACTCATTATTGTTTTCAAAATATTTTGACTTAGTCCTGAAATCAAAGTTCATTTTCCATAAATGAAAATGTGACCTACATTTGTATGTGCGCAACCGTTTATAAATACCCAATATAATACTTGAATTGGATTCACAAATACATCCAGCTTATAGATTTGAAAATTGAGCCAGTATTATGTGTTTGCCAACAGTTTATTCAAACTTAATATTTGCCTCTTGAAATCATTCAAAGATAATTTAATGAGATTTTAATTGAATTCAATTAGCTTCCATAAATTATTTAGGTATTCCCAATTGCAAATTGTAATTGAAACCAGGATAAAATTATCCTAATTGATGATACATATTTTTTATAATACTTAGCTATTTCAGGGCATTTAATATATTGAAATACTGTGATCAGGTCCAGAGACTTTGTAGAATTTCCCAGAATCTCAGTTATATAAATTTAACAAAGACAAAATTTGGCTTAGCTGATATCTCTGTTCGGTGATGCTCTTTTTCACAAGTGCTTATTTCCCGGAGCTTATGTTTAAATACTGTTGTCCATTTATATCTATGTAAAAAGATCAGAAGGCGTGATCAATTCCTTCCTAAGTTGTCTGTTTATTTGAAGAGATAGCCAATACCACACAGATAGCAATCTAATTAAAGAGGCCTTTTCCTGTGTACACTGTTTAAGGAAGGCCCTTAATATAATTGATAAACACTTTCAGTAAGGATTCAGGTTCCCAGATAGTGTATCTCCACATACACAAACCCAGGGGAGTCAATTTTAGGAGTCCAAGAATATGTAGTACACAGGATAGGGGGGCATAAGGTCTTGTTTCTTGTGAAGGACCCAGAGCTGTTACCTAACTCTAGTCACTGACCATATGTGATATGGTCAGCCTGATACCTAAACACATATATAGAATGTTACCACTGATTAAGGCAAAACTTATCTAATTATCAAACACATGCAGTATAATACCAGCTATAGTTTGGTTTGTGTTGTGCATTAGAGTATATAATTGGACATTACTGAGTCAATGATTAATCAGCAAAATACAGTTTGTAAAATAAATAAATTAATAAGGATTAATCATCGTTTTAATAATGGAAAGTAAATAGGGATTTATGAATGTATTACCGATAGGTGGGCATGTTTTATTGTTATAAACAACAGCTGATCATGACCATGAGGGACCTGAGCCTATGACCTTAGATAACCTTTGAACTCAGAAAATCAATTTCAGTAGTGGGCTGTTAACTAAGTGTATTTATATAATCACACTGGATTCTAATTGAAATAAAATAATCCAAAAGAAACATATTCAAATATTTGGAATAAAATTAAATCATATTTTGAATATTAAACATAGTCATTTCTTTAAAATAAGCATACCTGCATTTTCAAACTTGTCATATTTTGATAAAATTGTTGTTATTTAGATAAGATTTATTCATGATCTGCCATGTTTTGGTAAGGACTCAAATAATATTGTGAATTTGACAGATTATCACATATCAAAAGTGTGTATAACATAATTATTTCACACATGCATACTTTATATTTATTACACATATATATATATCACTCATATATGATACCTATGTTACATGTGCTCAAATGTTACGTACATGCAGCATCTAAAAGTTGAGTAAAACTACAATATTTGCAGGGGAGGCCCCTGCCTGTACACCCATATGATAGGGTTTGGCTGGAAGTCCCCCTACTGATATATAGCTCTCCCCCTGACTTGGGTCTTTGGCCCAGTATAGACAGTATCACAGGAAGTACTAGCTATTAAAATTGATAATGAAACCCTGGAGTTACACTAGTATCATGAACATGATCAGGTCGAGCTCACTTCAAAAGCTAGAGGAAATCCTATGATCCGTTTCATGGTAAAGGTGTGTGTCCCATATACCAGTTTATATACAGGTTCTGATTAGATGGTTATAGAGGTAGATACAAATATATAGCCATTAATTGTCTGTTTTCTCTCACTGTCTGTGACTTATCCCGTAAAATAGTACATTTTAACCCCTTTAAAAAAACAAATTCATTTAGTGTTGAGTTGGTCTCTATAATATATATATAAACTTTCAGTACCTCTAATTACTATACACAATATTTTCTGCCCCGCATTAAATTTGCCCTTTCGTTAACAGGTAGAATATATAACAGAGATGAACACATCCCACTTTACAGTACAAGTTTAGCCTGGTCCTTGTTCCCTTTTACTCATGGCTAGTGCCTATACAAGTGAAGACTCACTGTGTCCCGGAGTGTACATTTAGGTGGTTACATGATTTTACTTTACGTTTATTGATTTACCATTATATTCATACAATGGCTAATTAATATTACATTTTAATTTATAAATCTGAGATAGTTTTTTGGATTCGTGACATTGGTACATCTTGGAGAATAGTGTGTATTTTATCACACATGTGTATTACGTATATATATATATTTCACACATGCATAATTTATATTCATTACACATATATTTCACTCATATATGATACATATATTTCACTCATATATGATACATATATTTCACTCATATATGATACATATATTACATGTTTATTACATATGTAATACTATATACCACATATGCTGTTTATCACAGCTTGTACATATGCGTAGGAAAAAATAATAAAACAAAGCATATTTCCGTCTACAATATTATATTGCATTGCATATTTTATAGTCAGCTAAATTGCCGCAGTCGGATTTCTCCCACATCTTCCCTAAGTTCTTACTACTGTAAGTGGTATGCTATGTCTCTTGATAAGTGCACACATCACACAGTTCATCGCCGAATCGGTGTCCATTTCACAGACAAAATACATGTAATCTGCCCTGCACACAAACCTTGCACACTATCTGTGTACTGCTGAGGGTATTATAGACTGCCCTGGCAGCAATACTTGACAGTCTAGACATCAGCAGTGCAAGGACCCCATCAAAATATCTCGCCCAAAATTTACGGTAAAAACCTACACTTTAATTACATCTTGTCAAAATCTCAAAAACTGAATTATGCAAAAGCTCTATAAAAAAAAATGTCCAGAGCGTGATCAATATTACCGGGGATCAAACAAGATTAAAATCAAAGTTAGATGTATGCGCCTTCAGATAGGGAGAATGTTAACAATTTCTGAAATTAAAGTAACAGTCTACAATTGTCAGGGTCGTATATAAGTGTGTGTGTGTATATAAGTGTGTGTGTATATATATATGTCTGCATGACTATGTAGCTCTTCTGTGATAGTGACTAAACTGATACATTAAGTGTCTCATCTTGAAGCAACCTGCTCCTGGTACAAAATGTATCAACTTACATCTAACCTAAGCAAGTTTCAAACATATTAGCTTTAATTTATTACAAAGATGAAAACACACAAGCATCTAAACTTAACAAAGAAAATCATTAACATTTTTGGCTTTATTTAAAAAAAAAAAATGATGACAGTTTCTTAAATATCTTTCTTTCAGTTTCAATGAATGAAAATGCATATTTGTCACTGAATTCCTAACTAGACATTAAACGGATAAGAGATTTCCATTAATATGCTTTCAGAAAAAATTATTATGAGATCGGAGATATAAATTAATACATTCAGATGTGATTCAGTATTTATACAAAAGCAATCAAATTAACCTCATGATGAATAATTGATCCAGTACAGTATGCTACATAAAACATTATTAAAACAATGTAGAACACCGTGTTCTGTGTACACTGTTCCAATACACATTCCATCAACCATTACACCTAATATGTCCATTATCCAAACATGGATTATCCTATATCAAACAACATCATTGATTTCTCAGTATAAATAATATAAACTATAATAAAACTCTTCTTACTGTTCTGTGTTGAAGAGATGTTTTAATAATTAAATAAAAATTCCCACGAATTTCGTATTTAAATACCTTTATATAAATGAATAAAAAGTTTTATGTAAAAATTACATTATGGATCAAAGAAATATTAACCATAAACGCTTAAGAATGGCAAGATACATGTCTAAGGTTTGTATCATGTGTTTTAAAGGAAGATATGTATGCCTCAACGCCCAAAAGCTTTGGAGCACGTTTTGTCAATGAACGGTCGTATACCTATGATAAGCTAGGTTCACAAGGTAAATAACTGCCACAGCGTAGGGGGACAAGTTTTCATCTCGCACTGGAACTTTCTATTGCCGTATAAATTTACTGACAACGCCCTTATGCAAGAGAAAATGGTGTGTTATTGTACAGTTATGTGTGATGAAGCTATGTGTGGGAGAGATAGTTCATGATTCATATGGAGTTGGAGTAGTAACACTGGTCCCCCACTGTCGAAATCTAGGTCGAGTCGGTGTGCCTCTCAACAAACACGCACCTTGCAGGATAAACAGTTTATAACTAGCCAGTATCTACCCACAAATACGAACAGAACATAAAGATGTAGCACTTACCTTAATTAAAATAGTATTCCAAATAATTGAAACGAAGGTAATCATACCTCAACAAACTTTTAGCGTATAACAACCCTCGTCTCTAAAATCCAACTATACAGTGCACTGTTGGAAAATATCGTACATTTGGGGACATGCGCAATCAGACAGGAAGTTGCATGCTCTCTTTCATTGAGCTGAGTCGCCAGTCCTTTGTTTGTCGTGCAAAAAAATCAGTTTGAAGATTTAAGGGATAAGAACAGTTACTTGCGTACAATGACGAGCTAAACCACCAGAATGGTAGGGGTGGTTTGGACTTCACGGCGAGTCACTCGAAATAATAGCACCAGTGTCGTGGACCAATCCACTGGAAAACCCGCAAAATTTAAATCTGTCAGCTGATCGAGTGTTGTTTGTATATTAGAGTGTGCCTCTGACGCTTGTTTTACTATTGGCTTATTGCATTTGAGAGAAAAATATCAGAAATCCCTCTTAACCGTGAGCAGTTACTGATTCGCAGTATGGTTTTTTTCCAGACATAGACATAAGTATATATCTAGTAGAATATTGGAGAGAGAAAAATCGAAAAAAACACGTTGATATCGAAATGTTTAGGGTTATGGAAAATTAAAACAACTGAAATTTCTAGCACACAGGGACCTGACAATTTGTAACAGCTATATTTGGACCTCAATTAAGGTGTTCAGAGTAAATGTACAGGTTGTAGGGGTTTAGATCGACTTACGGTATAAATGACCCCCAATGATTATAGATGTCGAAAAGTTGACCCCACCTAACTTCTCGCATCAAAAACAACATGTTTAGTTGATGAACGGAAAAATGCTTAGTACCGTTGGACATTTCATTGAGGGTGTCACTTTTAACGAAAGTCGATCTAAACCCCTAAAATACTTTAAAATTACTCTAAACACCTTAGTTTAGGTCCAAATATAGCTGTGACAAACTCTCAGGTCCCTGTGTTCTAGCAGAGATTATAACGTCCCTGCTTCTAGATGAAGAAAAAACATTTAAGAAATTTGAAAACGAGGTTTGTCTATGAGACGTCAATTTCAGTCGGTATTTAGTTCCATATATATGTATAATTCTCAAAATCATGATAATAGATGTCCACGTAAATAAGATAAATGTAGAAAAATCAGATATAATTACCGACTCAAAAAATAGCGGCACGGAATTAAATTATTTCGTGACAGGGTTCTTCGTTTTTATTTCAAAAGAACAACTTCAGTGATGTCACCATTATCTATATTCATAATCTGTGTTTTGTGATTATGTATGAATAGTGTGGTATTTATATGTAATTTGCTTTTTGTATACACGAACAAAATTACGTAATTAGTATTAAACATGCTTCTGTAGTTTCTATTTAGTGTATCTGTGCATTCTTTTGTTATCTACAATACATATTTATAACAGGTATGTTTATATGAAAAAACAAGGGCGATTAAGCTTTTCCGGAATAGGAACGACTTTTTGGAAATAAATCCCTCCTCCACAAAAAAATCACATAACTTACATACGCAAAATCATGCATTATGTGAATTCTTCGGGTAGGCTGAATAGCCTATGTGAATATGGCGTTGAAAAATAATACATATGAGGGGAAAATATAATAAAAAATGCCGATTTCATTGAAATGCTTTTCTATAAAAATCCATTAATCAAACAATATTGAATTCAATAAGTTATTCGGCTTGACATAATATATATATATATATATACAAAAATCGCTTCTTTGACAAATTTTATAAAGCTTTTTTCTGGGACATGCCAATATTATACTTATCAATCAATATAAAATTACGCTTTTCTACATATCAATCTTATAGTCGAAGATGGAAGTAAGCTATGCCACGGACACAACTAGCTAGTCTCTATACAGTCATAAGTGTAAAAGTCTTTTAACATGCATTATGTTTTTATATCAACATATCGTTGCCATTACTCACTATGAAAGCAATTTGATTTTGTCTTAGAAATCAGATCCAGGGACGTAACCAGGACTATGAGTATGTGGAAGCATACGAAGCGCGAAGCGCGGAGTAGGGGGTGGGTTCGGGAGGGGGGTTACCCCCTCCTGAGTT